TATTTAAACACTTTTAGAATGTTTTCAGTCTCCCCAGTGGGTCAGTCAGTGATAAATTTCTGAACTTACAATGCTAAAATCATGAGTTCGATTCTGTGAAATGAACAGAGTAAAGATAGCTATGTATACCTATGTTTACACTAAAACAAACATTGACTTTATTTAGAAAACTGTGTAAACACTGCCATGTACTGTTTTGAAGGTAATTTGCATAGCAGTTCAGTTACTTTTGTTGTTAGTTTTTATCGAATAAAACATAATATACACGAACAAAGTTATCTTTGAAATTAATACAAAATAATAGAATGTTAATGAAATGTCATTTCTGTGGGAACTGAATTTCAGAATTATGTCTGAATGACTTAGCATATTGAGCATGCTATACTTCTTAGAATTACTATCTTTCATTCAACCATCAAGACACTAGGCTTACCCTTTGTCCTGGAGGCCCGGGAGTTCCTACCTGCCCAACAAGTCCGTCTAACTGCGATGTGAGGACAAAGCACACAAGTTTAACAGCTACAGCATGATACATAAGTTTAGAAAATTACAGATAGGTGAAAAAATCAAAAAATCAAATTGTAACTGAAAATATAAAAAGAAATCGTAAAAACAACAATTTTGACAACTGTAAAGAATCTTTACCGGAAAAATATACTACAAATGAATTTCTCATTAGATATATCGACAACACTTTTTTTTCTGGAACTTACAGAATGTACTCAAGTTCAGCATCAACACCCGAGATAACCATTTTGATAGAATGAACCTGAAGATATGCTCCGAAACCAGTAATTAGAATTTTACTTTGCTAATCACGTTTAATTCGAGGTTAGTAATTTGATGAAATTAAATATATTATTACATTTTAGTATGTTTTATTAAAAAATCGTGGTTTTGTTTAGTGCAGGTTCCTAACCGTAGATTGTATCCCTACAATGGTTGATTTTGGATGTAGTATTACGTAAATATGAGTAATTAAAACATGCTTTTCTCGTTTAAAAACAAAAATTAATCCAGAATAAGTTAGTCTGAAATTAAAAAAATCGGTTTTATTTCTTATTACCACATCATTTCCATTTTCCCCCGGTGTTCCTCGAGGGCCAGTAGCTCCTGGATTACCCTATGAATTGAATGTGATCATAAATAACGCATCTTGTTGAATAAGTCAAGGAAAGTTAAACATAAAAACAGTAACGTCTGAAATAAACAGATGGTGGTTCCTTACTCAGTCATCTAACACAAAATAGATAATTAATAAGTAAACATATGTTTATTTCCAGTGTTGTAGTGCAAGTCTGACTTTAGCAATTACAGGAAATTAAATTCACCCATTAAAAACACAGCAATTAACAATGAAATCATAGAATAAATAAAATAATAACAATATCTAAAAATATACAAATGAACTAAATACAATATTATAATTGATATGAAAGTCCTAACTACACTTATTTCAGTTATATAATATGCAAACGTGAAATCTAAAAATGTTTAAAACACCATTTTATCTTCAACCAAAACAAACTATATTCTTCATTATCTCTGTATTTTATTAATTAATTAATTATTTATTAACTAATTAAATCAATAACTATTGACGCTTACCGGAGCACCACGAAGTCCAGGTGTACCATTCTCTCCTTTTTCACCTTTTTCTCCCTGTATCATTACAAGCAATATAAAATTATTTTCATTGTTTTTGTTCTTTCGTAAATAATATATATATATATACGTGTCGGGTCTAAGCTAGTATTAATAACTCCATTAAACTTATAATTTTAAAAACAATTAAACTTCTGATAAGTATGTTATGACAAGACGTTATATATACACACACACACACATGCTGAATTTGTTTTATATTTTTTTATTCCATTTCTTGATTAAGAAATACAGTTTATTTCGTAGTGTTTATGACTAAAAAAACTCAAAGAGCTTAAAGTACCACTTAAATCTATAGTTTTTAAAAAATAAAACTGAGAATCCATATCATTGATCATCTGTTCTGAGATTAAGCTAACCCGAGCTACTCTGGTGAGTGTTCTTCCAAGAACCAGAGTTACCTGTTGAGACCCCCCCCCCCCCACAACTACCCCCCCCCCTTATATATTGAAATAATAGCATTAAGGTTTCTGTAGTGAAAATGTTCTTGAAAGATGTTGAAGCTACTGGAACCTTGAAATGATCCCAGAATGGGTAATGAAGGGATTAAAAGTTTCCCATAAGAAAGCTGTGATTAGTAGGATCTAGAAATGTGTTTAACTTACCTGAACCTTGAAATTATCCCAGAAGGGGTAATGAAGGGATTAAAAGTTTCCCATAAGAAAGCTGTGATTAGTAGGATCTAGAAAGGTGTTTAACTTACCTGAACCTTGAAATTATCCCAGAAGGGGTAATGAAGGGATTAAAAGTTTCCCATAAGATATCTGTGATGAGTACGATCTAGAAAGGTGTTTAACCTACCTGAACCTTGAAATTATCCCAGAAGGGGTAATGAGGGGATTAAAAGTTTCCCATAAGATATCTGTGATGAGTACGATCTAGAAAGGTGTTTAACCTACC